CAGCAACTACATGGTGGCTCCCAACCATCTACACCAGGATCGGATGCCCTTTTCTAGCACACAGATGACCTGCTGGTAAAGCACTCTTATATTTATATGTAAAGTAAATAAATTTAAAAAATGATTTCAGAAACTCTAAATGGAAACTGTTTAATTCATGAAAGTTTAAAATCACTCACCATGAAATTATTTGGGCCTATACATGTTACATATGTGGAGATTATTCACTGGTAATTTCTTTTCTTTTGTTGCTGCTTAGATATTTTCATTTTAAGCAAAATATCAAATCTAGATTCCTACTGTTCTAAAAACACAAAGCATACATCAATGCATGCTGTATCAAAGCCTCATAGCCCTGCACCACCCATCAGACTTTAACAGACTTTAATCAAACAAACCAAGTGCAGTGTTGCCAAAATTACTAAGGAAACAGGTGAGCAGCTAATAAAACAAATTACCCCCTAACAGGTAGTCTAAAAGAATGCTCATAAATCAAAACAGGAATCCAAGCATATGTTGAGCACAATGGTAAAGAGTGGTGGTTCTGGGAGCCTTTCAACCTTGCCTATACAATCTACTAAAGGTGAACAATTGTAGGTCTTTGAGTTACCAAGTACCATGTTTTAACATTATCCTACAGGAAATCAGGGGACTGAGCCATCTCTGCAGCCCCTCTAGTCTCCATCTCTGAAAGCCCTTTAAAATGATGCTCCTAACAAAGTCCTGGGGAAAGCAGCTGCCACACTGAAGACTTTAGACGGCTCACACCACGGAAGCTCCACAGCACTAAGCCACAGTCACTAGTCAAGCAGCCCAGAAGAAGCAGACCTAAGGTCTAAATCCAGACCATAGGACTACACCTTGCTCAGTCAGCAAGGTTGGCCAACCATTCCTGTAAGTAGTCTCATGGAAGTTAAAGCTTGGGTTTAACCATGTGTAGATGGCTGTCTTCATAACGAGCACTGTATTTAGAACCACAGCAAACTGAGCTCGTTTTACATCTGCCGGCTCTAGTGGTGGGGTGCTTCTGAAGACACTTGGCTTTGCACAGCACCAGCATAACCCAGCGGTCTAAGCAAACTGTCTTTTCACTAAACTTACCCAAGATAGCATTTGAAATTCCACTGTGAGCTGGGCTTGGTGGTGCCCAACTGTAACCCTGCACTCAGGGAGGCAGAGGCAGGCAGACCTCTGTGAGTTTGAGGCCAGCCTGGGCTGCAAAGTGAATCTAGCCAAGGCTACACAGAGAAACCCTGTCTCACCACACACACACACACACACACACACACACTCCACTGTAAATCCCTGTGAGATTTGAGGTTGTTTAAATATTGTCTAATCTTATTGGAATTTCTTTTCTTTTCTTTTTCATTTAACATTTGAAATTCTACTATAAATCTCTATGAGGTTGTTTAAACATAGTCTAATCTTATTGGGCTTTCTTAATATTTTTCCATTTATAATTACAGTATTTCCCTCTTCCCTTTCCTCCCTTCAAGCCCTCCAATAACACTCTTCCTTGCTCTCTGAAAACATACATACTAGTAACATTATATAAATTAACATTATACAGATTCAGCATTATCTAGATTAAGGTGTATTTATGTATTTAGGAATATATACATGCATGTATGTGTTGGTTTGACTGAGAATGGCCCAAATAGGTTCACAGATTTGAATGCTTGGCCACTAGGGAGCATTTGAAAGGACTGGGAGTTGTGGCTTTGCTGGAGGAAATGTGTCACTGAAAATGGGCTTTGAGGTTTTCAAAACCCCAATGGCTTTCTTTTCTGCTGCCTGCCAATCCAGATGTAGAACCCTCAGCTACTCCTCTAGCACCGCGTCTGCCTGCATGCCACCACACCACCTACCGTGATAATGAACTGAACTTCTGAGACTGTATGCTAGCTCTGATTAAATGCTTTCTTTTATAAGAGTTGCTGTGGCCACGGTGTCTCTTCACAGCAACAGAACACTTACTAAGATAAGACCCATATATGGACGCAACAACAAGTAATAAAAAAAACAGAGGGCATGAACTTGAAAGAGGAAAAAAGTTTTTCTTTTCTCAGTCAGGAAAAATTGCAATTTGGCCATGCATCCCTAAAAGTAAGGCTCAACAAAGATCATCTTAACGTTTCTGTTTTGTTTTTTCCTTTTGAGGGATAAGTGTTGTTGCTATCTGTAGTGTAATTCATGGACAACATAGATGAACATGCTTAAAGGCTGGGGCTATAGCCCTAGGTTTAATTCCCAGTATAGGACAGGGTGAAAAAGGGAAACACACATAAAAAATGTATGTTATGGTTCATTTGTTTAAAATGCCTGTAATTTGTGGTTTCCAGGGCTGAAAGTAGCTAGAAATACACCACCACCCTTTGAAGAGGGAATTAGCTTGTCATATATCAAATTTATAAAGTGACAATGAAATGAATGTGATATGGGCATGATATAAAAATAGTTCAGTTAAACAATAATTAGCAAGTTCAAAATGTATGTCTGTACTTAATGTAATTCAATATATATAAGCAAAATTGATAATTTTAGGATAAAAAAATATTTTTAAAAAAATGAATAAAAACTCCCACTGTGGAGGAGGGAGATTTATCAGATCACTGTAGCACCTTCCACATAAAAGAAGGCACTTTAAATGAGCTGAAGAGCTAAACATAACAGAAGAAAAAAATTAGTAATATTAGTGTTAAGAAAAGTTCTCCTAAGCAGAAGTTAAGGGTGGAAAAATGTTCAAAATTGATAATATTTTAATTGAACTTTTTAAGTTTCTATAGGGCATATAATTAAAACCTGGTAATAGACTGGAAGGAAATGTCAAAAGAAAAGACAAAATTACCCATTCTAATGATAAAAGCGATTACTAAGAAGACAAATACTACATTATAAAGAAGTGCTAGGTAATAGGACACTAAGTAATTCAAAGGAAGTTCACATGATCAATAGACAAATTTTAAAAACAATAAGATACCTCATTACTAGTACTCTGTAAATGCAAATTAAAATAGTAAAATGTCATTTTCAACCAACAGATGATTCATAAAAGAAAAAGGGTGATTATGTTGGAAACAATATGAGAAATACATTGCTAGTAGACACTGACACCACCTTTGAGAGGGATGTTTTTATTATTCTGTAAGTAAACTCAATAATTCCTTTTTGTTTGTTTGTTTTCTGTTTTGTGTTGTTTTTTGAGAAAGATTTTCACTATGAAGACTGACTTGGAACTGTGTAAGTATACCTGGCTGAGCTCAGACTCACTGGGGTCCCCCGCCTCCTTCTCAGGAGTGCCAGCATTGAATGCACTGATTCCATCTTTACTGATTTTCAGATGTCCTCACACAGCTACATAAAGACCCACTGTATAGACACATAGATGAGCTGACAAAATGATACTTGGTCCCGTTCTGTGCTGGGAATGGTTCTCAGACACTATAAACAACAACTCATTTAGACCTCACACCAGTCCTACAGTTTAGGTCCCTTAATTTCCATTCTTACTATGCAGATGAGGAAACCAACACACAAAGAACTGAGTAACTTATAAATTCCTCAGCAGTAAATTTAGCAACAGAGCCAGTATTCAACCCACGAACTCTGATTTCTGTATCTCAGTTCTTAACCATCACTGCCACTCCAGACGGTATGACTATTCCTAAACAAGGATTTTCACTATCATACTATACATAATGCCAAAATACTGGTAATGGTCATGGCTAAGGAGTGGTAGTGTAAATAATGTGTCACTCAACTATAGAAAAACAAATACTATAGAACCTACACACACCATTTTATGCATTTTCTTTCTTTCCTTTTTTTTTTTTTTTTTTTTAAGGTAGGGTCTCAGACTGGCCTCAACCTCACTTTGTAGCAGAGGCTGCTATTGAACTCCTAATCCTCCTGCCTCAGGCATCTGAGTGGTAGGATTACAGTTATGAGCTGCAACATCAGACCTATTTTATGAGTTTTGTAGTATGTGATTTTAAACTGGCAAGTCATTACTTTACAGTGAAACTACAAATCTAATTAAGCCAGTTATGGTGGCACCAGCCAACAACAACAATACCAGCACTGAGAAGATGTCTCAAAAAAACAAACGAACAAAAACCTTAAGCATGCCCAATACAGTAGAAAGCATACAGGCATTGTTTTACCAGATGCCCTTCAGTCTACGTGTACACATATAAGAAGACGGCGCTATCATGTAAAATGGATTTCTCGTGGTCAGAGAGTGAGAGCCAGTGAACTAGAGCACGTGGTGAGCAGCTCAGTGCTCTATCCTCTTGAGCCCCATCAGACCTCACCACATCAAGCCTGGGGCCTATCACAGACCTTTTATCTGAAAGGGGGCATACTCAGCACACTATTTTTCAAGCTTTAGTATGTACACAAACATCCTGTCTCAGAACAATTCAAAAACACCTTTTCCTCTGAAAATATCTCTTCTATTGTCTCTAAGATTAAATTCCTATCAATGTTAATGTTTTCAGTTGTGGCCTTTCTCCAGCTGACTCTAATCTTGATTTTTAAGGCTGGTTAATCCAAATCCTCACCTTTCGTGAATGCATTTACAGACTCTGTGCACTTCAGTACAAAACACAAAACAACCAGAAACTACACTGTCCTGTCAAAACTGAGAATCAGTTTTATTATTTGTAGTAACTGTTCCTAGAATAAAAAACCGACATCTGAGTTGATCTGCTCAAAGTTTTGGGGAGCAGGCTATAAATCAGCCTTCATCAGCACACTTTCACCCGCTGCTTCTCAAGAGACTCTCAGCAAACCAACTCTGCTCCACACATCAGCTCCCCGCACCACCACATCCTTGCACAGCTTGTCTTCACACTGGAGAGGGTCAGAGTTGAGTTTAGATCCTTTACCTCGGTATCTCTTGAGACCTTATTCATGTGATGGCAGTAAATGATCAGAGTTAGTGAAAACTCCTAAGAAATACTAAAACCCATTTTTTTTTTTTTTTTCTGGCTTACCTGCTGTTCATCCTCCATGACGCTGCTTGCAAATTCAAACACTAGGTCGTTCTGTTGGACCACAGTAGCCATAGTAAAGCATTCCTCTTAGATCCACATGAGAAAAGTCCGAGTCAGGTTCAAGTCTGGACCAGGAGGGTACAGTGTAAAGGTCAGTCTGTGGATTGACTGCAGACCAAGGTGCTCTTCAGTGAAAGCAATGCTTCAAAGTTTCTTGGTTCGTTGACATTCTAAGCAAATCTGCACTTTTTCTGAAATAATTCACTAGGTCTTCTTGTTCCTGAAAAACAAAAGCTGAAGTGAGTGGTGAAAAAGGCAATCACCTAGCTAAAATGTAACAACTGAGACAGCCTCGTACCCCCAAGTGCCATTGTTACTCTAGATAAAATCAACAGGGTTAGTAAACACAGGCTTTTGTTTTTTAGGATACACTTTCCTTGAAGACTTCATTCCTAAGATAAACTCTCCCCTCATTACCTCTTCTTTCTTGCCGAAGCCAGGCATGAGTTAAAGCACTGGGTGGGGGGTGGGGGAATGGAGGGAGGTCCGGCAATATTAAATACCAGCAGAGGATATATAAACAACTTCATTCTTTCCACTAGCCCAGCAAATCACCTACATGCACATTAACTACTACTCTCTCTAAATTTCATAAGACTCATTTGTCCTTATCAGCAATGTGCAAGCACCTTGCCCAATCACACAAATCTAAAGGAAGACAGTTAAAGGTTGTAAATGCTGTTTTAATAGCTTTTCAAAATGAGCAGAAATTAAAGCCTACTTTTCTGTCCCTGAAAGGGCCTGCCTGAGTAAAGAGATGCTAGGCATTACCATGCTGCGCCTGTCTTCAGGGACTTCTTTTTGACCAAACTAAAATGTAGCCTTATCTCTAACACAAGCAACAGGAAGGAAACTGCACTTGACCACGTCATGGCAAGTGAGAACATGCAAAGGGCTGCACTTTACAATAGTAGAAAAACAGACATGCAACTTAGGAGCAAAAAAAAAAAAAAAAGACTGCCAAACACGTTTGTATATTAGTGTTTTTAAAAAGTAGGTTACCACTAACAAAGGTAATGTAGGTGTTTATTACAATTTTATTAAATATTAAATGTTTATGGCCATAAATGTGCCATGAAAAGTTAAGGTTTTAAGTAGTCATGTTTTTAAAATCTAGTTATTTGAAACATCTTTTTATAATATTAATATAAATATTTCAAAAGTATGGCAAGTTTAAGTAATGGATGGTGTACACGAGTTTGGCAATAAAGAGACACGGTGAGTCAGTCTCCTGGAAATCTGACATAAACAGGAGCTAGCCAGGTTAAGTACACTGTTTCCTAATTTCAGTCAAGCCAATTCTCTGTATGTTCCAGGTTTTAGAGATCGACATAGATCACTGTAATTTCCATAACTGGAAATTAAATTAGGGTTAGGTATTCAAGCTACATTATTACTCACTAAACTCAGTTCCAAGCCAGTGGTGTTCAATTCTGACCCAACCCAACCCTTTTTAACTGGGATTTAACTATAACAATAAGAAAGTACTTTTAATACAGTCTGGTCAATTTTTGAGCCTAGGAAGGCCAAATTTTTCATTTTGTTCATTTTTTTTTCATACGCACAGATATATCAACATAGATATATAACTGGCCTTGCATGAACATTTACTTATTTTTTTACCCTTAAATTATTACATAACCCAGTTCCTCTATAGTAGCTCTGCTTTATAGGTACAAGATAGCTTTGTTTTTGTCTCCCTTCTTACCTTCCATTATTTCAATTCCTGGAATGTCCCCTCCCACCTCTCAATCTTATCTTCCCATACTTCAATGTTTAAGTCAGTTTTTGTTTTTGTTTTTTGAGAGAGGATCTCAAGTAGCCCAGGTGAGCCTCTTGGCTATGTAGCCAAGAGTAACTTTGAACTATTGCTCCAACTGCCTCTACCTCCCAAGTTCCTTCATAAAGTCTTCCAACTTCATATCTCAACCTGTAAGGACTGTTCCCTTCACGATTACAGCACTTAGTGACTGCAGTAGCAACTTAGCAGTGGCCACAATGTTTTAAAGTGTTGCTCACGTAATCCAACTGAATAAATGTGTCAGTGCTTGTAGTCTGAAAACCAGAAGATAGGAATAAGAAATACATGGCCCAAAAATCTCTTCTGGGAGCCGGGCGTGATGACACATTTCTTCGATCCCAGCACTCAGGGAAACAGAGGCAGGTGGTCAGCCTGGTCTACAAAGCAAGTCGAAGACAGCCAGGACTATACAGAGAAAGTGTGTCTCAATGCCCACCCCCTCCAAACAAAACAAAATCTCTCCTGGGCAAAGAACCAACCAGAATTTCAAATTTCTTCTATATCCACCAAACCTGTGTGCCCATACTAATGGTAAGAGTCATGTTAATGACAGAAGATGTTTTAAATGTCTACCACTGAATATGCAAGCTATTTCTACATATATTCTGTTTATAGCCATGAGGTTCTTATGCTAAAGAGGAAATTACTGTCACCTTCAACCCCCAGAGCAAATGTGTTTACACACATACACAGAGGGGAGTTTTTCTGTAAATGGTTAGGTTCGAGGGTACTCTGAAACCTGGTGTTCAGAGGACACATGGGAATGATATGTCTAAAGTTACAAAGGGTATTTTTTCTCAGCAGCGTCTCCACAGTGCTACTCTGCTTTACTAACCATCCTTCAGAAACTTCGAAAGTAAGGACAAGCAATGAAAATACCCTGACCTTCAAACCCATGATTGACAACCTGTAAAAATAACCCAAAATGGCTGCCCTGAATCATCATTAGCCAGCTGCAGGGGTAGGTAAAGATACTGAGCTCTGACACAGAGTTTCAGTTCACATGTGTAGGGAAATTCATTAACCCAAAACATAAGAAAGGCTTCTTTTCTTTTTTTTTTTTCTGGTTTAATTAGACCTCTGACGCTCTGCGCCTTCCTTCTTCTTGTCCTCTTTCCTGTTTAGGTATCCTGTGGCTAAAAGTGGTGAGAGAGAGAGAGAGAGAGAGAGAGAGAGAGAGAGACCTTTCTAATTCTTAAAACAAATGTAACTCTGAAATAAGATGGCTCAGCTGTATGAATTTTACTTAGTAACAGACAAGTCTGTGTTTCAGACTTTCATTGACTAGGTGGAGGTGGCCAGACTCTGGGGTCTGTAAGTACAATGCAGCTAACACTGCAGCCTCAGTTCCTGAATCAAATCTCAGCTACTGCAGCACCAGCCTTGCTTTTGGATCCACCCAGACCTTTGTGCTAGTACAGTTTGAAACACAGATTTAAGGAAGTGTAAATACCAAATTTAAGGGGGAACTCCACTCTCAGTTTTCTCCACTATCAGTCAAGTCCACCTCAGAGGCTCCAAACAGGTTGTCATGATGCTCCCTAAAGTTATTCCTGTACATGAGAAAACATGGGTGTAAGGCTGAAACAAAGAAATCTGATCCACCTAACACAATCTAAGATCCTCAGTAAGTTTTAAACTTGTTTAGCTCTAGGCATGGTGACACAAGCCTGTAACGGCAAGGGGGGAATTTGAGGCCAGCCTGGGATGCCAAACCAGCCCTTATCTAAAGCAGTCAAACAATAATGCCAAACTTGTTTAAATTTACCCACTAGTGAGCTATGTATCCAGGAATACTGCGTCTGTAACAGTTCTCAAGCATGTATTTTTACAACACTATAAAGCAACAAGGGAAAGAAGAAAACTCTTCATTTACCACAGTCACACGATGCTACACTAGTTATACATTTCTGAGAAGTAACCCAGTTGGGCATCCAAACAACTCTCAGACTGTCTCTGATGACCTTTTCCTTTGGAGAGCTACACCACAGAAATGCTGAGAATTAAGATTCCTAGGCTCTCGGCACCAATCTTCACACCTGAGGTAAAGTCAAAAAACAAAACCATTTCCATCCGCAGATCATTTGGGTTTCCACTGTGAGGTGTAGCCCTGAGCAAGGTCTCTGTACATTCTATGTAAGCCTCCAGTGTTCTCCTTCTGTTAAATGAGCATAACAGCAACAAGATCCAGAGCCGTGAAGGTCATCTGTGACACACTTGTGCAGATAACTGGGACTGCAGGTCAGTGGCAGAGCACTTGCCTAGATACTTGCAAAGACACTGGCTTCAGTCCCCAGCCCTGTTTAATGAAAATCCAAATACATGTGCAGAACGCCTGGTACATAAACTGAACTCAATAAACATTAGCTTAATTATAGCTCTGAGTATACTGTGAAAAATATGCAACAGGTGCACGTTAGATCCTAATTATTTCTTAAGTCTCGTTTCTATAATCACTGAGAGTCTTTCACCACAACTGCTGGCGAGACTCCAACACCACAGCCCATTAGCAACAAAATCTAAGCTGACTCCAATGCCTTGCACTTTGGTATCCTTTTAATAAATGCAGTTGTATAAAGATTAGGTCATTAGAACTTCACATATGGGGCTAGAGCGATGCCTCAGCGGTTGAGAGCACTGGCTGCTATTAGAAAGGAACTAGGGTCAATTCTCAGCGCTCACCTATTGGCTGACCACCATCCATAACTCCCCTCCCAGGATAAGACACCCTCACCAAGCTGGTGCACAGATACACATGCAGGCAAAACAACCATACATAGAAAATAAATAAATTTTTAAAAATTTAAAACTTCATTTAACACAGTCCAATTAGGACCCTGTCCCAAACACTGCAACTTTATCAATTTTAAACACAAAACACTATTTCACATTAATGACCACAACAACTCAATTCAAATATTTTGTATAATTTGTTATAAAGTATTTCAAACATAAGAAAAACATGAATTGAAACGTGCCAAATCCCTTGTTAAATATAAAGCATAAAATACAGGATTTGAGAAGCATTTCAGACACAAAAATAGGAACAATCCATTAAGATTTTAACATTGAAACTTATTATTTGTTACTTTTATTTGCATTTGTATTTGCATTTGTCAGTTTTCAATAATACAAAGTAGAGACAAATAGTAACACTCCATGAAATTGTTGAATCCCCATTTCCTTTCCCTCAAATAGTCCCTCTCATACCTTATAAAGCCCTGACCTAAATAGAACACTTAATACATCAAGAGGTTTTTGTTGTTGTTGTTTAGCCAGGCAACCTTGAGGCATACTCCTGCAATCCCAGCACATGGGAGGCAGAAGCAGGCAGGTCTCTGAGTTTGAGGCCAGCCTGGTCTACAAAGAACTCCATGATAGCCAGGGCTACACAGAGAGACCTGTCTCAAAAAAAAACAAGTTTTTTTTTTTAATCTTTTGTTGGAAATTACTATAGTACAAACACATTTTGTGGAAAATTATAAATAAGGAGATGAAAACAAACAAGAAGTATTCTTAATCAAGTGGTATCTAATAAAGAGACTTTTGCAAAATCAATTTAAACTATTCTAAGAAAAGCAAGGCTATTTGGAAAAAAAACTATTAGAAGAAATGCATCAGGAATTAAAGAACACAAAATGAAAAAGAAACGCTCCACATAAACCTTAGAAATCAGCTGTGGTAGAGCCACAGGTTGTGATGAATGGAATTTCTGTGTAGTGGACCACAACTGGACTTCTTTCTAATTGGTTTTCAACATGTTAAAATGCTAGGCAACAGAAATGAAATCAAGTCCATGGTTATCAAACTGAACTGCACTACCTTCCAACTGTCTGCCCATTATCAATCTAAAAAACTTTGTAGACTTACAGGTTTTAGGGTTGAAAAAACACTTGGGATAACTGAGGACTACCCATTCATAGAAAAAGAATTTGGAGCCTGAAGCAACCTGCCTAAGGAAACAGCCAAGAGCAGCAAAGGGAGCACGAGAGCCCAGTCTCCTCCTGCCCCTCTATCTACTCTAGTAGGACTTCATGTTTTTATCAGCAGAGTACCAGGGCTGGGGACACAACACAGTGACAGAGTACTAGCCATGCATGCACAGGGCCCTAAGTTTAGTCCCCAGCACCATCAAATACAGGCATGTGTGGCCAAAGTACATAACCACACTCCAGTATAGCTATTAGTTGAAATGTCTTCAGAAAATATTTCAAGTATCTTCTTGATACTTGGGATAGACCACTTCTAACCAAATATTTAGGTGGAACTGGAGGGAAGGTTTGCAGATTTCTTTTTTTACTGCTTTAAGCCTTAGTTTTACTATTATTGTCCATCCCCAAGTCTGCCACATCACATTCTTACTTTAGAGCCTCACTCAGCCTTAAAAGTCTGGAATAAAAAAAAATAAAATGAAATAAAAACTTGTCAGCCAGCCAGGAGGTGGCACACGACTTTAAACCCAGCACTGGGAAGGCAGAGGCAGGTGGCTCTCTATGAGTTCAAGGCCAGCCTGGGCTACAGAGGAGTCTAGGACAGCCAAGGCTACAACAGAGAATCTCTGCCTCAAAAAAAAAAAACAAAAAATTAAATAAACATCACTATAAAGATCTCTCTAAGCCATGTGCCAAATATATAAAATGGGTGGAGAGAGCGCAGGAGTTACTGCTTAAAATAAATCATTTCTCACTTCATTCAGGCCTTTCATAATTTAATTTTAAAAGATATATCAGGTATGGTGGCAGAGAGGCCTTTAACCCAGCACTTGAGAGGCACAGGCAATCAGATCTATAAGAATTCAAGGCCTGCTAGGTCTACATAGCAAGCTCCAGGCTAGCCAGGGCTACATAATAAGAACCTATCTCAAAAAAAGCAATAAAAACAAACAAGAGATAGATAGATAGATAGATAGATAGATAGATAGATAGATAGATAGATAGATAGATAGATAGATAGATAGATAGATGGATGCATGCTTGGGGCTGGAGAGATTAGAAGTGACTCATGAGTTACAAATGCTCACTGCTGTCCTAAGAGGACCAAAGTTCACTTCCGGGCACTAACATGTATATTCACATACATTCACATACACAAAAAGTAAACATTTCTTTAAAATGTTGGGTTTCAGACCTGAGACAAGCAGCTAAGGTGCCTTTTGAAGCAAGGCAGACCTGACCTCCAGGTTCTCCCAGCATCCTTCAGTCCCTACCTGCTGCAGGGTGCGGCTGGCACACCCCGACCTCTACCCTGAGCGCTGCAGCCCAGCCTAACCTCCCCTAGAGGCTCTTCACTATATTCCAGACATTTTGGTTCCCTTCTCTTCCTCTCTCTGTTTCTTCTCTCTCTCTCTCTCCCTCTCTCTTTCTCTCTGCTCTTCTCCCTCTCTCCCGCTCTCTACAAGCACACTTTTCTGTCTCCCCCCTGCACAGCGGCTTCTCTGGCCTTGTTCTTTAGGACTAGTAAGAACTTCGCACAATAAACCTGCACTTATATACTTTAACTTGTCTTGAATTAGCTCATTTTGCTGAAGAATAATAACATATCAAAAATGCTTAAAAGCAAGACAAGGTTGGTATTCGTCTATAAATCCACGTTTGAGAAGGAGAGGCAGGAGACTCTTTTCTAGCCTAGCTTAGACCACAAAGCAAAAGCAAGAACCAAACTTTTGATATCCTAATCTTTTTTTAAAAAATTAGCCTTTTAATTTTTCTCAAATACTCAATGAAATACAAAATTGTCTCTGTGGTTGGAGTTGTGTCTTAGAAAAATTGAAGGAATAAAACCAAGTTTCTGTAATACTTAACCACACCAATAAATAACCACAAGCTTGGTTCTGTTTGTTTCTTGGAGACAATGTTTTCCTTCATAGCCCAGACTGCCCTTCAACTTAGGGGCATTCTTATCCTTTGCACCTGCCTCTGAAGTTCCGGGACTTCAGGTGTACACAATCACACTTGATTCCTGTATCTTTGAAGTAGCTAGCTATTCAGTATGGCACCTTAGTATTTGGCATTTGTCAATTTAAATTAACTGTTTTTACATTAGGTATTATTTAATTAAGAAAAGCTAACACTAGATATTCTTAAATTGAAGGACAGCACAGGGCAGCAGCAATCCTAACTTTATGGAAGCGGCTTTGACTCTCATATAAATAAAGCACAAATAGTGGTGTTACATGTAATACCTCAGACAAGTGCCCAGCTTTGCCTGGTGACCTAGGCAAAGCTGAAGCAGGACTTCCCAATCAAACTCCCCTTAGCTTCAACAACATTAACCTTAAAAAGCTGTCAGTATGACCAAACCAACCAGGCTGACTTTCTCTACTTTTCCTTTTTGCTGACACCCAGAGGAACTGTTCCAGGACTCTGAGGCAGGCTGCAATTACTCCCCACACCTGAAATTCCAGTTCTTTCACATACTTCTCCACTTTCCAGTACCGGCACCCAGCTTACCTGGTGTCAGGTTACATTCAGGCAGCATTTATTGCACCTGAAAAGCCAACAGATCTCATACCAAGGCCTGTTTCTACCTGTGGTTTCAGGATTTCTTTCTAAAC